GTGACATCACAGGATACAGCTAATCAATCATAAATACTTTGTATAGCCCCCTTAATGTGGGGTCAGAGTGGCCTTTAATCTATCGCTGTGCATGTGGTACTACGAACTCAGAACCCAATCTGACCTGTCCTGTCCAACTCCTTGGTAACGGTATGCTGTGATTGGAACAGGTGTCATCAGTGCGTCAGGATGATGCAAAAATCTGTGCGGAGGAAGTGAATAAGATCCTGAACGATGTCCAGTTGATGAAGGGAAAACAAGAAACCATCGACTCCAGGATCGTCACAATGAAACAGTAAGTACCAAACCAGAATCGGGGCTAGAAACCACTCGGCAGTGTTGACTAAAGGCTGATTTTGTATTTCAGTGAGAACGAGGCTCTGTGGAGAGAGGTGGCCAGTCTGAGACAGAAACACACTCAGCAGCAGAAAGTTGTCAACAAGGTACCTGTTCTCACTGTCCACACCTTTCCAATTAGCAGAACTCTATAAGAATACACCGGATGTGATCCCTCTGAAAATATGAAAACCTCAGGGGAGAGTGATGCCACATAGTTGTCAGACATTATCTTAACATTACTGAACTCTTTGCCTGTCTCTCTCTCTCTCTCTCCAGCTCATACAGTTCCTGGTGTCTCTCATTCAGTCCAACAGACTGCTAGGAGTCAAGAGGAAGATGCAAGTGTTTTTTTGATACCATAGATACTACAACAAATGCTACACTGTACACCACAAAATGTTAAAATTGTGACTTAGACACTAGATAATTTCAAAGTGCAGATTGGATGCTGTGAGATTTTCTCTGCCAAGAACATTTTCAAGCAAATGTTCCCAGGTGATAAAATGAGGATTCAACTGCCCAAATTTCAGACTTTTGCTTTTATTTTGAAGTACCAGTTCCATTTCCTTCTCATACCTGACCTTAAATTCAGTTTTCCTCTGTACATGTTTTGCATTTTCGTTTATTCATTTTAACTCTCTCTGCAGTCCTCTGATGCTCAACGACTCTGGCAACACCCACTCAATGCCCAAATATAGCCGTCCCTTCTCATTGGAGCAGGTAACTTGTCTCTGATTTACATCTTTCACTCAGACCTGCACAGTCAGCAGTGATTATCTTTCAGAGTGACATTAGCTGATTGTCTAGCTTTAGCTTTGAAAACTAGACTCTTCATATCTACCTGTGCAGATCTTTGTCCTTACTTGGTCACTTGTGCTCTTGTGTTTTTCATTTCAGGCTGCAGCCAATCTCTTCTCAGCTGACACCTCTGTGACTTCAGGACCCATCATTTCTGACATCACAGACATGGCCACATCTGGTTCAGATGAATTGGCTAGTGATTGGACGGACCAAGGGTGAGTACTGATCAGATTAGTCCTGCTTAGTCAGTAAGTGATTGATCCTTCAGAAGTCAGAGTGCATAACCTCCTTGCAGAGAGAGCCAATCAGTCGATATCAAAGAGGAGCCGTCCAGTCCGGAGGTGGAGGTGTGTCCTGTTCTGGAGGAAGTGGCTGCACCAGTGGACACGCCCCTCTCCCCCACCACCTTCATTAACTCCATCCTAGAGGAGAATGAGCCACCCACCCCAGTCACCTCCATGAGCAGTGCTCCCACTGGTAGACATTAAGTTTGTGGTTAGCAGTTTGATTCCTGTTCAGAGCATTTCTGGTAAATAAAAATCTTTCTCTCAGCAGCCAGTCCCATTGTGGTGATGAGCCCCGTCTCCACTGGCCCCCTGACTTCTGCCTCATCCACCCAATCACTCACCTCTGTTACCACAGCAAACACAGCCCCCAGCACAACAACACCTCAGAAGAAATGTCAAGCCATCGCCTGTATTGACAGGTAAGTGTGACTACACCAGTATGCAGTTGTGAAACATTCATAGAGACTTCTAATAGTGTTAGTACCACCTGCGATGAACGACTATGAGCATTTACCAAGAGTCAGCCCAAGTATTTCCCCAACAGTGGCCCTGCTCTGACTAAAGCTGAAACTGTGTTCGAGGTTGCAAAGAGCTGCCCAACAAACCGTCTCAGTAGACTGTCTATTAAACTGTCCTCAGTCCACCCTTACGCTGGGGAAGCCGTCACCCTTTGCTGACAGCTTCCCCAGCATCTCTCCAGAAACTGCCCCAACAAACACCTGCAGCTTCCCTGAACAGCTGCCCCACCCCCTGCATCCGTCACCTTGACATTCTGAGTGTCTTTCTGAAAAGTGGCTTACAGACAGGATACTGAAAGTGTTCTGCTGAATGCAGATTGCAAGCTTGTGTCAGGAGTGTGCGAGTTAGACCTCAGTCTGAAGTTTGTGCTACAAGTTTAAGAAACTCCTCCTATTCAGCCCACTTGAATGGCAAGTGCAGCGCTGCTTTATCTGAAAGCCTCTTAACTAACCATGGTGTGGTTTCAGTTTGTCTTACATTTTAGCTGATGGTCCTGTTGCAGGACAAGTGTGTCATTAAAACCCCTGTGCTTCCTTCAGACCCCGCCCCCTTCCCTCTGCAGGTGGACTCCCACCTGATGTTTGGCGGTTCCTCTCAGCACAACCTGACAAGTGAATCACTAATTCTACAAACAATTATTGATTTGTAAATATGAAAGTTTTGAAGTCTTCTGGTGACATTCTGCATTTTCTTCTTGTCAAATGTGTGAGGTCCAGATCAGCTTCTTTAGCTGATCAGATGTCAGAGGTCATGAGCTAGTTAATTGATTCTATTTGGTCAATATTAAGTGCAGAAGTAATCCGGTCAACAGGTCAAAAAAGGTTTCTTAGGTGGCTCACAGCAGGAAATGTTTCAGGCATGTTCTGACTACAGGAAATACTGTGTGTGGCCAGGGTGAGGGGTGGAGCCTTTGCTTAAGATTATTAACAGCAGAGAACTGGCAGGTTCAAACTGAGCTCACCTGTATGGAACAGTTGAGATGCAGGTCATGTATTAGTTTGGATCTCTGCAGACATAAAGGAAAATGTAGAATAACGGCAGACATGCGACCTAACATCAGACCTGTCTCACCTGTGTGCCTCAGGTCTGAGCTTTTGGATCATGTGGATAGTATCGACAGCGGCTTAGAGAACCTGCAGAACATACTCAACACACAGACGTTCTCCTTCGATACAGTTCCACTTATTGAGGTTAGTCTGGCTTCTTGTTCCCACCTCACATTATTATCACTTGTGTTTGTGTGTCACTAACTGTGTGCGTGTGTGTGCTTAGTTTTTCAGTTCATCTGGCTCGCCTGCAGACTTTGACCTCGACAGTTTGGACAACGTGAGTTGCAAATTTCACATTCTTTGGTCTGCTATTTCAAAAATAAGAGCGTACTGTTGCCGACGATGTCAGACCTGTCTCACTGATGTTACTGTTTCCCACTAGCTGCTGTCTGATGAAGCTCCTAAGGGAAGTGAAGAAAGCGGAACAGGTGAGTCATGCCTTCAATAAGTTGCTGCTCCATCCACCTGTCCGTTGTCATGTCATGACACTGTGCTGCTCTCTGATTGGTGCAGGAAAGCAGCTGGTTCAGTATACACCTGTCCAAACGTCTGAATCTGACAGCGGGGCCGACCTGCCGGCGCTGCTGGAGTTGGAAACTGAGCCATTTCTCAGCTCTGACCCCCACACCGAGGACCCAGGCACCACCTTGTTGAACCACGTCAATCTGGACTCCCACCTCTGACCTCTTGAGTAACCATAGCAATGTGACACCTGAGCACTGACTCAGTAGCAGCAATAGATGAGAACAGTCAATAGGTCAAAGGTTGTGTTTTTATTACACAGATGTTATTGATATTAATCTGTCTTCTTCTTCTACTCTTGTTCTTTTCTTCTTTGTTGAAGCTTAAATGGAAGCCTTTGTTGCTGTTGAATGCGTTTTGCATGTTGAAGTCAGATTTTATGGTCATTATTTTCTTGTGTAAAATAGATTGAAAAGAATCAGAATATTTTTATCAACAAGTGCTGTGCGACCTGACTGACTGCCCACCCATATGAAAGAGCCATGTGGATCAGTATTATTTCTCATTAGTTTGTTTCCATCAGTTTATATTACTATTATATTCAGTTTGTTTCCGAAACATGAGTTCACATCACTGCTCACTGCTGTGTCCCCATGTTTCAGAAATACTGCAGAGACGTGTCTGAGATGGTATGAGAGCCTTTTTTGACTTGTATATTAGAGATGCTTTGGATCAGGTTTGAGATTCTTGTCTGCAGAAGCTTCATGGATGGAACTCTGAAGGTAACTGACAGAAACCAAATGATGGTCCGTGCTGCCAATTGTGTTTGTGTTTGCAAGGCCAGTTTAAGGAAACTTTGTTTGAATTTGTCAGGGTTGCACGTTGTTATGTCATCAGACACAGGGTTAACATTCCTCACAGCTTCACTTGGTTAAAGTTTAAACAAAGGCCGAGATCTCAACCACATTTCAGGCTCAGTGCTGTGATACAGGGCTCATCTGTGATGTCGTCATTCTTACTGAGCAGCTTTTCTGTATGCTAAGTCTCCTGTGGCTCACCTGAACCAGTCGTCTCTTTGATGGCTAAGAAACACCTGAAGTCCTGAGGATATTTTATTGGTCACATGGTCAGAGCTGAACAAACAGAAAGCTCCCTTCAGTGTTAACACATCTGTTAATATAGTACAATTATATTTAAGGCAAGTGGTAAATCCACCCGAGTCCTCCAGGCTAACATGATGGCGCTCCACGTGTAGAGAGGACAAAGACGGGGTCAAAGGGCAGATGAAATGTTGATGTATTCTGACTGTAAAATTTTGATTCAATAAAATGTTTTTAAACAGCAGCATGTGAATGAATGACTGGTTGATTTAAATCAAACTGTGAGGATGTCATGAGGTTGGTAATACTGTGTTGTCTCTACAAAGTGAAATGAATGTGTCAGTAAGCTAAATC